TGCTTTTATAATCATTTTCCAGATTATTCTATAGTCTTTTACAGCAGCCAGCTCACTTTGTCATACCAGGACAGCTGAAAAGACCTGTTATTTCCCAACTGTGGGATCAATAAAAAGTTTTTTTAATCTTATTTTTCCCCACCTTTTGCACCAAATTAATCTGAGGAGTTGATCAGCCCTGCTGTTTAACTCTTAAGTTTTTCTTCGTAAGGAAGACTATAAAATGGCTTCACCAAAATCCGGTCCACAACATTTAAACTGTCTGCCGTGCAGCTTGTTACTGGTGCGAGGCTAGTGTGAGGTGTGTCCGCCTGTGAGTGCTTTGTGATGGTGGAGGGGCTCAGCAGCACCTGCTGGACAGAAACTGCGATAGAAGTCAGAAATGTGATAGACGTCCGTCTCCAAACACAAGCAGCTATTAAAAAAAACAGAAATAGAAGCTCGATTTGTCGCTAGTCATTTTTAACAAAGAAAATGCTGCTAAAAGGATTAATAAAGTATCCGGTTCAACTCAGAACAGAAACAAAAGTAAAAACTGATCCACGGAATGTTTACACCGAAACATCACTGATTCACTCATTTCGCTGTCAATCAAAAAAGGATTCAGGCTCAGACAGATCATCCAATCATCATGCAGAAGCTGAGCATCTGAGCCCGCCCACTGCTCCATAGACCCCCCAGAGATGCTGAGCGTCTAGGGGCGGGACAAAGCCCAGCATTTATCCAATGACTCGTCTCGTTTTGCTGCATTTTTTTTGACTCGCTATTGAAGTCTGGAAGCTGAGTGTTCGACTGTTTAAAGCACTGTGAAGCTGCGGGAATGAGTGAGGAAAGTCGCGTCGTTACCAGTGATAAGAGGCTGATTCTGAACAAAAGTTGAGCGCGTTGTAGCACATATTTAGACAATGACGTACTCACAACAGTACATATTTGATCTTTTGTTTTTTACGTTTTAGGGGAAGCTGAGCTTCCCTTGCGGTCTCAGAGCAATCGCCTCTGTCCAGAACAAACTTGTACAGTAAAGTTTTCAAATGTTTGTTTATTTATTCTTGCATCTGCTTGTAGATGACGTCATCAGGCCTTCCAGAGCTGAGTGGCTCTCAGGATCTGAAGTATGTGTTTGATGCTCTGCAGCCTCACAACACCGACGCTGAGGCCACCATCTTCTTCACGAGGTAAATGTTTTTATTTGTGTTCCCAAAATACAAATCTCCCTCTCTGCTTCTGCTTTAAAATCATTGAAATATATTGAGTTCTTACTGATTTCTTACCAAATTTTTTTTTATCTATTTATAGCAAGTCTTCTGTGCACATCTATTATTTTTAATCAAACTCAGAATCCACCAGATGGCATCATAAACTTCAAAGAAAGAACAGCTGCCTGGCATTACTGCAACAAACTATAATCAGCATTAGAGTTTTTATAGTCCTGTGAAACTGGACAGAGTACGACACGTGACAGAAAATTTTACAGTTGTGCCTCAAAACAGCTCATTGACTAGGGCTGCCACAAACGATTATTTTTATAATCGATTAATCACCGATTATTTTTTTCGATTAGTCGACTAATCGGATCATACGTTAATTGAATATAAAACATAGAGCTTATCACGCCAGAATGCAGCTGCTTTTATATAACCATGGTTAGATTTTAGCTATATGCTAACTAAAAATAACTGCTGTGGAAGGCAAGTTCTGCTCTGCAGATATTACACAGGTTTCTCTTTCATTTTCTTAAAATGATCCCACACTTTGAGCTCCGTTGCTGGGTAGCCATGATACCAGAGCCTGTCTGTATAATGTCTTGTGACGTCCACGGCCTACCCCAGTTACCACTACTGTGCATGTGTGTCAAGGACAGAAAGGCGGATGTGGCAGTGGAAGGTGTCAAAGCAGTTTGGAGAGAAAAACAAAGTAAAGAAGAAAAAAGAAAACGATTAATCGATTATTAAATTAGTCATCGATTATTTTAATAATCGATTAGTCGTCGATTAATCGTTGCAGCCCTATCATTGACACTTGACTCGTGTCTTTTCACGCTGAATTCCACATCTCACCACGTTTTTCTCCTGCTCTCCTCTCCTCCGCAGGCTGATCGAGTCCAGCCTGGGAAGCATAGCCACCAAGTTTAATTTCTTCATCCACAACCTGGCCCAGCTGCGCTTCTCGGGCCTTCCTGCCAACGACGAGCCCATCCTGTCCTTCTCTCCAAAGACGTACACTTTGAAGCAGGATGGACGCATCGTCCACGCCTCCATCTTCTCCTTCCAGAAGAGATACAACCCTGACAAGCACTATGTGGGTCCTGCCAAGACTGTTTTATTAAACAGTATCTGTTTTTTTTCATATCCTCTCATATTGGAGTTAAGTTGAACCAGATCTGTTTTGTGTGTTTTCACTGAGCAGACATATGTGGTGAGAGTCCTCAGGGAAGGTCAGAATGAGCCTCAGTTTGTTTTCCGCACTTTTGATGAGTTTCAGGAGCTTCACAATAAACTCACCATCCTTTTTCCACTGTGGAAGCTGCCAGGGTAAGACATCACCTCCACCCCTAAAGCTCAGGGGCTTTAATTTACCAAGCCTAATAGAAACTTAAAGGTAGCAACTGTGTCTTAAACCAGCTTGTCTTATACTTTAAGAATCACTTTTAATATTTTAATATGATGTTTTTTACAAGCTAGAATGCTGCATTACATTATTTCGAAGTAACCAATTGAAAAATCTGACTTTTTGTTTTAATGTTTAGCTTTCCTAACAAAATGGTGCTCGGTCGCACCCATATTAAAGAAGTGGCAGCCAAGAGAAAGTTGGAGCTCAACAGCTATGTGCACAACCTGTTGAGATGCTCCACAGAGGTCACACAGGTGAGAAACAAACACTCAGTATCCTGTGAGGTACAGCAAGTCCTTGTTGTTTAAATAAACCTGTTTGTTTGTTTTTATTCCAGTGTGACCTGATCTACACCTTCTTTCATCCCATCGCTCGAGATGAGAAGACGGAGGACTTGGAGACCACGCCCAGAGCGCCTGGTAGTTTACCTGCATATTTCTCTGGGTCATTCTTCAAGGGTTTGGCATTCTTTTAAAACTATGTCTGGTTTTGCTTTATTTTTGTGTTATGAAGCAGATTAACTGCTGATAACCCTTGAATTGTTTTTAGGTCAACACTAAGGACATGTTTTTTTTTATTTTCTCTGATTGTTGCAGAACCTCCGCTGAGCCCTACCTCGGGTCGGGTGGAAGGAGAAGTGAAGCTCTCGATCTCCTACAGGAACAGCACTCTGTTTATCATGGTCATGCACATCAAAGACCTGGTAAACACAGAAGAATCAAACACGTTTTGTTTTTAACTCGGTGGATGGTATTGCATTAATCCATTCATTAATCTGTGTCTTCCACTTCAGGTTTCTGAAGAAGGAGCAGATCCAAACCCGTATGTTAAAACCTACCTGCTTCCAGATCCACACAAGACGTCCAAACGCAAGACAAAGATCACCAGGAAAACCAGGAACCCCACCTTTAATGAGATGGTCTCAAAGCACTTACATTTTACTTTTACAGTGGTTTGCAAAAGTATTCATACCCCTTGAACTTTTCCATATTTTGTCACATTACAACCACAAACATAAATATATTTCACTGGAATTTAATGTGAAAGACCAACACAAAGTGGTATACAATTGTGAAGTGGAAGCAAAATTTTACATGAATCAAAACATTTTTTACAAATAAAAAACTGAAAAGTGCGATGTGCAAAATTATTCAGCCCCCCTGAGTCAATACTTTGTGGAGCCACCATTTGCTGCAATTACAGCTGCAAGTCTTTTAGGGTATGTCTCCACCAGCTTTGCACATCTAGTGACTGCAATTCTTGCCCTGGATGGAGAGCGTTTGTGAACAGCAGTTTTGAGATCTTGCCACAAATTCTCAATTGGGTTTAGGTCTGGACTTTGACTGGGCCATTCTAACACATGAATATTCTTTTTTTTAAACCACTCCATTGTAGCTTTGGCTTTATGTTTAGGGTCGTTGTCCTGCTGGAAGGTGAACCTCCGCCCCAGTCTCAAATCTTTTGCTGACTCCAACAGGTTTTCTTCCAAGATTGCCCTGTATTTGGCTCCATCCATCTTCCCATCAACTTTGACCAACTTCCCGGTCCCTGCTGAAGAGAAGCACCCCCAGAGCATGATGCTGCCACCACCATATTTGACAGTGGGGATGGTGTTTTCAGAGTGATGTGCAGTGTTCTTTCTCCGCCACACATAGCGTTTTGCATTGTGGCCAAAAAGTTCAATTTTGGTCTCGTCTGACCAAAGCACCTTCTTCCACATGTTTGCTGTGTCCTCAACATGGCTTCTGGCAAACTGCAAACGGGACTTCTTATGGTTTTCTTTTAACAATGGCTTTCTCCTTGCCACTCTTCCATAAAGACCACATTTGTGTAGTGCACGACTAATTGTTGTCCTGTGGACAGTTTCCCCCACCTGAGCTGTGGCTCTCTGCATTTCATCCAGAGTCACCATGGGCCTCTTGGCTGCCTCTCTGATCAGTGATCTCCTTGTTCGGCCTGTAAGTTTAGGTGGACGGCCTTGTCTTGGCAGGTTTACTGTGGTGCCATACTCTTTCCATTTCCGGATGATGGATTGAACAGTGCTCCGTGAGATGTTCAAAGCTTGGGAAATCTTTTTATAACCTAAGCCTGCTTTAAACTTCTCCAAAACCATATTCCTAACCTGTCTGGTGTGTTCTTTGGACTTCATGATGCTGTTTGCTCCCCAATATTCTCTTAACCAACATCTGAGGCCGTCACGGAGCAGCTGTATTTGTACTGAGATTAGATTACACACAGGTGGACCCTTTTGAGTCATTAGCAGTCATCAGGCAACTTCTGAATGCAATTGGTTGCACTCAGGGAAAAGGGGGCTGAATACTTTTGCACGTCGCACTTTTCAGTTTTTTATTTGTAAAAAATGTTTTGATTCATGTAAAATTTTGCTTCCACTTCACAATTGTATACCACTTTGTGTTGGTCTTTCACATTAAATTCCAGTGAAATATATTTATGTTTGTGGTTGTAATGTGACAAAATATGGAAAAGTTCAAGGGGTATGAATACTTTTACAAACCACTGTATATTTTCATATTTGTATACAATAATTTAAGGCCTGCTGTAATATTTTACAAAGGCTTTAAAGTATTCAGACTTCACCTTTTTCTGTTTTTTTTATGTTGCATAAAAGGTTTACACTCAGTACTTTGTAATTACAAAGAGAAAACAAACTTATAACTTGTGCATTTATTTAAAAAAACTCACTGAGTTGATACACCTGAAACAGCAGTTACAGACTCGTATTGTTTTTTCGTTTAGTTTTTTGGCTTTGATGCAACAAATTGCTCAAAGGATATCTATTCAGCTTCCCATCAACTAAGCTCTGTTAGTAGAGTGAGATATAAGCAGCAACTGGGCATTGTTTGAAAGAATTGCGATGACTGGATTTTGTCAAAATATGTTGAATAAATACCGTATCCATGGGTGCCTTGAAGGAAATATCCAAACTATAACCCTAACGAATGTTTTTCTCAGCGGTACAAAGTTCTTCCTCAGATGGCTGCCTTGCAACATTCCTGTCTCTGAGCTCTGAGGACCGTTCTCTTTACCTCATGCTTTCTGCTTTGTCAGCTTGAAAGCTTTTTATAGAGAGGTGTGAACCTTTTCCAAATCCTGACCAGTAAGCTGAGTTTACATTTGGACTCCAACCAGAGTGTAGAAACCAGGGATCAAGAGAAAAGTGAGGCACCTGAGATAAATTTCAAGTGTTGTTGCTGGGGTTGGGCGGTATTGATGTTTTTCAAACCAACATATTATCTTTAGATAATGTGGTGGTTTAGGGCAGTGGTTCCCAAAGTTTGGTTCGGGACCCACAGTGGGGTCCTGAAAAGTTTTTTCTGAATTAAATACACTAAAAAAATGACAACTAACAACAATTTTTTGCCTTTGTTGTCACAAAAAAGTAAAGTAAGTGTACTTAAAATGGACAAAAACAGCGTAGTAAATATTGTTACTATGATCTTGTTTATTTGACGTAAAAACAATGTTTATCAACCAACAACAGCCGGGGGCTCAGGTCTCCAGTGCTGGTATTTTGTGGGTCAAAAGCTGAAAAGTTTGGGAACCACTGGTTTAGGGTATTACCGAAAAGGGGCGGGGCATGGGGGGTGTATGGTCTGTGGCGTGTTGAGTTACTTTCTCCCGCTCTCGCCATCTCTCCATCGCCACCGAATTTCATTCAACTTTGGCATTTTATTTTATTTTTCCTGTAGATTTTTTTGGCTCTTGTCAAACAACGTTTGTGGGGATTTATGGCACAAGAGAAGGCTGAGACTGACGGACTGAGCTGTTTTTTTTTTTCATTAGACTACTGACTACCAGTCATGTTCAGAAAAAAAATTGTGTATACCATTTATCATAGCTCCAGTTTTATTTGACCTATCAACATAATTTAAAAAGTGCTGTATAGTTTGAAGTCTCTACTTTTGACTCGAATTAAAACAGTCTCAGAGAAGGCATACAGTATCTTTCCGGCTAGAGTGATTTAAATAGGTCATATGACTAGTTCCACAGGGTTAATACCATCTTATTTCAATGCTGAGGTACACCACAATATTACCCAAGCACAGTTATTTATTTTACATTACTTTACAACTTTTTAATAAAATTCTCTTTTAAAGGCACAGTGTGTAGGATTTTGTCAATTCTTTTAGCCGAAATTGAGATAATCACTAATGACAATAATAAAAACATGTCTAATCATATTGCAGACAAAGACCTTGTTTTATTATTTTTACCTTATAAAAAGCTGTTTATATCTCCATGGTCGCGGGTCGCCACAACAGGCAGCCGCCATCTTGCACCACCATCTTGTCTACGAAGGCTCATGAAGGACAAACTGCGGTGGCGGGGTCAAAAACGGTTTTAGTTGTAATCCTATAAATGTAATATTTGTTGTCTGTCATTGTAGCTGGGATAATTTTACTTATTAAAGCTCATAATCTTACCACTTGAAACATCACTAGCCCTGAAGCTGCTGGTAGACATCGCGGTTGGAATTATCAAAGGTTTTTGACACCTGAGAGACATCGTAGCAACTGCTTTGTGTTTGGAAGCAGGGGGTGGGGGTGGGGGGAGGACCAGGGAGGATGATTCAACCACTCAACCACTAGATGTCGCTGAAAACAACAAATCCTACACACTGTGCCTTTAACTTTGGTTTATAAAATACTGAGTGTAAATTATTGAAAGAAAATATATATAATTTTGGGTTCAGGGTGCAACATAATCTGTAAAATAAAGGTTTACTGATTTGCAATCTTTAAAAGAGTTTTCAGTTTTATACAAATACAATTCACAAGTTGAGGAAAGGTTTGTTGAAATGTCTTTTAACTTCAGCATTATTGAGAGTAAAACCAGCCTCCGTGTCCTCACCTGTCCACCTCTCTCCACAGCTGGTGTACAGCGGCTACAGCAAAGAAACGCTCGGCCTGCGGGAGCTGCAGCTCAGCGTGCTCAGTGCCGAGTCGCTGCGTGAGAACTACTTTCTGGGCGGCATCAGGCTCCGACTCAAAGACTTTGACCTCAGCAAGGAGACGGTCAAGTGGTACAAACTGACGACCGTTCCCTACTTCTGAGCCCCGACCTGCCTCTGACTCCGCCCCCTCGGCAACAACCTGAAGCATTCAGATCGTATGGGAAACGCTGCAGCGGAGAGCTTACTTGAAAATACTGGTCACCTCAACTTTTACATCAAAAATATGCTACTCCACGACATATAGGTCTGGAAATGGATTCATATTTTTTATTTAGTTGGGATTAATATCGCAATTGGAAATTGAAGCGGTAATATTTTGCTTTTTAATATAAAAAACTTAACATTTCTGTCCCATCTTGTGGGTATTAAGATAAATTGATGTATTATAAATTACACACTGACTTCCCCTGGTTCTAATGATTGTTTTCATGATATTGCATATTATGTTGCTTTAGATGTTGCTCCCATATGACATGAATGTGTTCAGCGTTTCCTTTGGACACGCCCTCAAAGAGGCAACAGAAACAAATGTACAGATCCTAAAAGAGGAGCCTTTTTTTCCTGTTTTCACTTTGCTTTAAAACTCGTTTGTGACAAACAATCTCCTGAGTTTGTCTCGCTTTTCTTAAGTGTAACAAAGATCTGAAATATTTTGTACATTTTGATAACAGAGGACCAAATGGCTTACTTTCAGAGGAGTATCTGTGTAGACTGACAGGTTTTATAAGAAGTAGAAACTTTCTGTGGTGTGTATATATAAAGAAGAAAAAAATCAGGGTTTTGTCGAACAGCCCATCAAACGAGATGAGAGACAAATCAGTGAGCTGAAGAATCCCCCCATCAAGTGCCAAAACTAATTTAAAAAAATGGGACCGAAATACCAACAACTCTCTTATTGGGAGCAGATCAGGGTGCCTTTGTTCTCAGAATTTCTTCTGCGATGGTCAACTTAGCCTTATTACTAAATGTATTTTCTTAAAAATGTAATATGTCCTTATCAAAGAAAACAATATATATTCTCTAAAGCTATAAATGTAGTTTATTTTTTTTTTTTTCAGAGCTGGTCTGGTGTCGGACTAGAACCACAGATTTTTATAAAAATGATTTGTCCCTTAATACACACTACTAGGCCTTGTAATATTTCTTGACTGTTGTCTCAGCAGGAGGGGAAAGGGGAAAATATATCATCTGTTTGGAAACACCATTGTCAGTCTCCTGAATGAAGAAAATGGTTGCCTAATAATGCTGATCACAAGTCAGCGTCTGAAAAATCAGAAATTAGAGTCCCTCCTGGAGTTTGTACATGAAATGGTGCGAGCTCGAGCACCAATATCCCACACACTCCCGATGCTTCAAAATGACCAGGCATGAAATCAGCAACAAGTGGTGCTGAAGTCCAGGAGCAGAAAGGTTTTTTTTTTTTATTTAAATGAGGAAATAATCTGAATGTCTTGTTCAATAACTTTGATGTAAAACATCTTCACAAGAAGGGAACAATATCCTGTGCAAGATAAAACCTATATAACTATAAATCTAAAAGTTGTGTTCATGTTTAATAAAGAAATTAAGATATTTTTTCTGAAAGTGTTTTTAAAGATCTATGACACATATGTCACGCTATAAATATTACTGCCTTGATCTGCTATTTTAGTAACTGTACAAAGAAAGCAAAGAGTTTGTACTAACTTGGCCAGTAATTTATTTTTAATTGGTGACCTCTAGCCTGAATGAATCAATGTGTACTGTAATCCCTCGATTTCATAAAAGCAAATTAAATGTTTTTGAACAAGTATGAAGTGTGTCTGTGACGTGTCTGATTTATTGAATACTTGAGGTGCTTATATTTTACTGTTTTGTGGTTTATTCTGTCTTTATAGAAAAGTCAGTATCTGACAGTAATACATCAAGTGAGTCATAGGTGCATAGATAAATTAATTTTATTCATATTTCTACTTATTAAAAACAGCTGACAAAACCAGTTTTTAAAATGAACAAAATAAGATAGCATAAGAGATAATTAATTTTGTTTGTTCAGCGAGAAAGTTATAATTTGAAAGGGGTGGAGATGTTTGTGAAATCTGGAGTAAGAACTTGGTACTTCGGTACAAGGAAAAAGACTATGGAACAATCTGGAGAGTGAGGTCAAAAATGCCAGAACAATGTCTATGTTTAAGAAAATGGTAAAGGTCATTTTGTTAAAGAAATATGAAATCTAATAATGTGTGTTCATACGAAATGACACTAAATAAGGATTTGAGGTTGTTTTTTGTTTGAAGGTCGTTATTGTTTAAATTTATTTTTTGAGGAAAAAAAGGCGCAGATATAAGATTTTTTTTCTTCTTTCTGTCGCCTTTCATTTTATTTTTGTGATTTGTGTTTTTCTTAATTGTACATAAATTTTGTTGTTTTTATAAAATTAAATTAAAAATAATAATTTTGTGATGGACGTCAGGGGAGAAAAATGTTAATTACACTGGTAAGAATAGGATGATAAACTATGATCTGGTATCAAAAAAAAAAAACAACGTTTACGCGATGCTTTTTTCTTTTATTTTTATTTTTTACCGGAAACAAGCGCCTGTGCGTAATTATGTAATATCCGGCGCAGACGTAAAATAGTTTTTTTCTGTCGCGTGTGAGGCCTCTCTTCCTCCACCGCCATCATGGGTCGCATGCACGCTCCCGGGTGAGGTTTCTTTCTATTGATAAAACTAAAGTTTTAAGGGTGGCAGACCGATTTTAACTGGAGTTCATCGCTTGTAAAGACACATTGCCCAACTATGGACTAAAATATGTGTTTTTATTCCGCCCAAAACTTAATAAAAAAAACCAAAAGCTCTACTTCAATTGGACATCCGTCTTCTGCTAGCTTAGCGTTAGCCCATCTATCGTAACGAGAGTACTTACCAACTTAAACATGCAGGAAGACATTATATAACTAGGTCCCAACTTGACCATGCACATTATAATCTAAGTAAATTTGTAATTACACGGACTGTTGTCATTAACATGAAGCCGAGAGCTGGCCCGGTTTTTAGATCCACGAGTCAGACTTGCATCGGCTTTAACCACTTTTTCTATTTGCAATAAACTGTTCTTGTTGAGTTTCTCTTATTGACCCGTTTTGTGTTTTTGTGTCTTATACAGAAAGGGCTTGTCCCAGTCAGCCTTGCCTTACAGGCGCAGTGTTCCGACTGTGAGTACTTAATATCCTACATAACAGGACACGATCATCCGCAGCTTACTGTGCAGGTTTCTAACACAAATTCTGTATTTTAACAGTGGCTGAAGCTCACATCTGATGATGTCAAAGAGCAAATCTTCAAGCTGGCCAAAAAGGGCCTGACTCCCTCTCAGATTGGTAAGTGTTTGTGTGGGAAAAAAAGTACAGTTTTGAACCTGTTTCTGCGATATATATACACACACACACACACACACCATATTTATTCATGTATAATACTAGCTTGAGTATAATATGATCATCATTTTTGAGCTTAAAAAGTATTAAAAATCTAATTATCAATAATTCGTGTATAATACTAACCACCACACACACTTTATGGATGATTTTTAGGGTTAAATTTCTAGTATTATACATGAATAAATACAGTATATATTTATTAGAATTAGGTTAGAATATTAACTTGCTAGATCTTTTTTAAATATTTGTTCACCCCAAAGAAATAACCCAAATCAATATAGTCATTTCTATTTTCACATTTTACTGGTTAAAATAAATATCTGGTAATTAAAAAAATAAAATTTTGCATGTAGTTTGAAATTGGGAAATAACTTATTGGATTGTTAGTCTTTTTGCAACGTCAACCAGGTTTTGTTGGAGATAATATGCAGAGTTATTCCATGACACTCCCAATAGGAAGTAAACAAGACAAGTGAAATTCTAGGTACTTAAAGAAATAGTGATGCTGATGAATATAAAGCAATAGATGTTGATATTGAAGTATACAATCATTAGTGAAAAGTGGGTGGGTGGGAAGGCAGGCAGGCACTGTTATTGTAGACAATGCAAGTAAGTTCTCGTTACTAACATTTGGAGTTTTTACATAGGATGTATAAGACGTGTACCAGTAATGACTTTATTAGTCAGCATGCACAAAATCGACACATTGGTCATGGAGATAATGACGTCAAGTTCAATACAGTCATGCAAGATTTGAGAGTACAATGCTGGTGTATCACAGCACTTGTAGATAAGTGCAACTTGAATTATTTTTCATATGTAAAATTAGTTTGGCTTTTTTTATTCATACAATATAATCATATAGATTTAGTTTTCAGTGACAGAAAATTTGTTTTTTGCTTTATTTGAAGATCTAGACCATTGTTTAATTGCAAAAAACATCACCCAAATTGCTGTAGCTAATTCAAAATTTATTTTTTTCACCCACCTGCTGCGTCTTGGTAAATATTTTGGTATTCCTTACTATTTTAAAGAATATAATACCTTAAAGATTTTTTTTTTCATTTTCTCCCCTTTTCCACCCTTTCATGAAACTAGAGGGGTTCGTCATAATCCAAGAGTTTCTAGTCCTAATCCAGTGAACTCGTTGCCCTGTATATGTTAGTGTCCCTGAGTCAACAAAAATAATTTAATTACCTCTTTATCATGTTAGCTTCAGCATAAGCCTGTTATTGACCCATTAAAGCTAAACAAGTAGGACGCTATGTAATGAGGTCCAATCTTTTATTGTGTGAGACCACATCACTTCAGACTGGTGCCGTTAATGATACCTAAATATTTATAAACCTTGTTTATAAAACAAGATTGTTTTCATGAAAGGGGCTTCACCAGATACAAATTAGTTTTGCTAGAATGTGTTCTATGAAATTATAAATAACTGGGTTTAAGTTGTGCCACTGTTGTGAGTCTACTTTCACCTTAGGAAAACATGAGGCCCAATGTATCTTCTCTTTCTAGTTTGTTCAGTGGTCATATGGTGAGGGAAGAATACGGCAGCTTTTTGTTTGTTTACACATCTCAGTTGTACTTTGTCTGAATTTCAAGGCTGCACATCAGTTTAACTTTTAACTTGTCCAGGTGTTATTCTGAGGGACTCCCATGGTGTGGCCCAAGTACGTTTTGTCACTGGCAACAAGATCCTGAGGATCCTCAAGTCCAAGGGTCTGGCCCCTGACCTTCCTGAAGATCTCTACCACCTCATCAAAAAGGCTGTGGCAGTCAGGAAGCACCTGGAGAGAAACAGAAAGGTACAAGAACACAAGTTCTGACTGATGCCGAGCACATTAAGGATGTCTTTCTTACTGATCAACAAGCGCATGTTATTTTAGAAAGTCATCATAGTGGGTCAGAATGTTTTCTAATGAGTACATTCTCGTTCTTGTAGTGCACTGAAGGAGAATGTAAAGTGGAGTGAGAATTCAGGGTTACAAAAACAAAATCTGATCTAAAATATGTCGACGGGTTATATTTTTATACTTACAGGACAAGGATGCCAAGTTTCGTCTGATTCTGACTGAGAGCAGAATCCACAGGCTGGCCCGCTACTACAAGACCAAGAGAGTACTGGCCCCCAACTGGAAGTAGTGAGTATTGCCTTTCAGTATAGAAATATTTCTTTAGTTGGAGTCTGATGACACTATGTTTTCTTTCTCTTAAATTCCAACAAATGGTGACAACTACTTAAGTACATTTATTTTGCTCATTGATAATGCACAATTCATTGTCCTGCTCTTCAGTTTATTAAGAGCAGTGATATTTCTGCTGTGCTAGAACAATCCTGGAGGTAAATTAGCAGAGTGGCTCCTTTGTGCCATTTCTGCCAGTCCCCTTCGTACAACAAAATAATTTCTAAGTGGCATTAAAATAGATTTTCAAAATATTAGCCCCGTTTTTATGCAGACTATTGATTTATGTAATAGGCTAGTATTGCAATAGTTTCAGTACCACTTAATTTGTATCATTTATTCTATTGTAATTACATTTAGAAGTCATCTGTTAGTGATATGTATATAATAATAATTTAAATGCCAAAATGTAACTTTTTTTTTTTTGCTTGTTTACAGTGAGTCCTCTACTGCTTCTGCTCTGGTGGCATAAACTTCACTTTTTTGGATTAATAAAATTGTTGAAATTCAACTACGCTTGACTGTCTTGATTTACATTTCTGTTCAAATGTTTTGTGTTTTAGTGAAGCATCAACAGTGACAGCTCCTTTATTTTGATGTAATTACAACTCAAGTATCTGAAACTAAAAAGCTAAACTAATAAAAGTGAAAGGAAACAATTTCGAAATAAGATGAAAGTGGGATGGCTTTTGTTTTGACTGTGTCGTCTAGTCGTTTTATTACGTCAGACTTATTTTCGGGAGTTGATGGGTTTTCCTGAAGTTACAGGCACTTTCTATGCGTCATACGTGACTGGGGGGAGTCGTTTTCTTCAGCCTAGCGGGGATTGGTACCTTTGAGTGACTGACAGCTCGTGTGTCCTATCAAGGCCAGGTGTGACGTCACAGGCTTATTTAAAGCGCCGTGTTGCAACATAGTAGACATTCATCTCTACTATCACAACAACAGATAACTGCTGAGAAACATGGAGAAACGGCACGAGCGATTTTGACGAAGGGGAACAAAATGGCGCAAACCTGCCAGAAGATGAAGCGACAACACACAGACGCAAATCTGTCACCGACAAATACGCGGAGTCTGTTGGTTTTTGACGAGGAGTACCAGAATACGTGAGGGTTTTTTTTTTCTTTAGTCGTGACCGCTCGCCGTCCGTGTAACCCGATAAGGAAGAAGTTAAAAATGGCTACGGCGGTTTCTGAGAAGAGCTCGGAGCGGGCGGCGGTGGAGAGGTTCGGCAGCGGAGGGATGGCGCTCCTTCCCTGGACTAAACAGATGCTGACCGTGCTGTGGGAACAGCTTCGGCTGCTGGTTCAGGTCATTTACTACAC